ATTTGTTCGATTCTTGTGGACATTGCCTCTTAAATTTTGTGCATTAGCTATTACAGTGGATTTGTAGTCACTGCGATATGAACAATGTTATAAGACTCTCCTTCTATTGTCTCTTTCTTGCCCCCATACCCCCCTCCTCTCTCCCCACTTACACCCTCCAAAATAATTATAGCATGGGTTGAATCCCGGATATTTGGCAATCAATATTTTGAATACAAGCCCTTGTATTTTAATTATTTATTATAAAAAATGACAAATTATGATAATAAAAATTACAAATAAAACGAAGAAAAAATAAAAACCAATCGTAGCTGTGGTATTGCCGTGCAATCGATTGTTTTTATATGTGCTATTACTATATAGAGTTTGTTTCTACCACGTTTATTGATTTTTACCGAACTTTCACACCACTAGTGCTTCATCAGGGCTAAAGTACTTTGTAAAAAATGATTCATATAAACTAGAAAACTATTTGCTTTTTGTTTCATACCTGTATTTTTATATAAAAAAAGGTGGTGATTACATGCCCGATGTGTTATTCCAATATCGACACGACTTAATGAAATCTACGTTAAAGTGCTTGACAAAGATCTGCCTTTTTGGATATTCCGTTGTCATGGTTACATCAGGTACTTAGCAACGGCGAGAGCCATGGCGAGGAGAGACATGAACGTCACAGGCTTCAAGGGTACACCTCCGTTACACAGGTCACTGTCACAGCAATAGGCTTCACATTTTCCTGAGTTCTTGCAAGCGTTCTTGAGAGTGCTGCAGATTGAGCTTGTAGAGCAGGTCTTAGCAATCGCACTGCCAGTTTTCGTCTTCACGCAAGTGTCCATGGTCATGAGCACGTTTGGGCACGTCATCTTCCCAGTCACACAGTTTCCATCATTGTTATTGCAGACGTAACACTTGATGGATAGAGCTGAAAGAAAAGAAAAGAAAAGAAAAGAAAATATAAAAAAGAGAAAGTATAATCAGCAGTATGTTGTTGTGTCAGTGTGTTGTTGTATCAATGTATTGGTGTGCTGTTGTATCAGTGTGTTGTTGTATCAGTGTATTGGTGTGTTGTTGTATCAGTGTGTTGTTGTATCAATGTATTGGTATGCTGTTGTATCAGTGTGTTGTTGTACCAATGTATTTGTATGCTGCAGCATCACTGAGTTGCTGTATCTTTTGGTGTGCTGTTGTATAAGTGTATTGCATGTTGCGTTGGTATATCATTGCATTGGTATACACTGATAGTGTTCGCGGTAATTTTACGCAATGTTCCTTTTTGTAACCCGCTTCAAAGTGAATTTAAAAAATCAGGTTAAAAGAAAATATCAACCTAACTCAACAGGCTGTTCAGACACCTAAAAATGTCCAACGTCATAGCTGTGAAACGTTTCATGACGTAAAAGTTGGATCCAGAAACAAGTTTTTTTGTCATTAACCCTAACTGCTCCTTTTTGTAACTTAAACATAACTTCATGTGTATTTACAAAAACTACATCTCGTCAGTGGCATATTGTATTACTTTGAACTTTTGTCACCCAATGTATATTAGAACAATCTACCATGGTTAAAATATAAGCTTTAA